CAGCAGTTGGCACTTGCCCCATTTTACTTCAGAAAGATGTCACTAGAATTAGCAGGAGAACGACGCTTTAGAGCCCAACTGGGGAGAAACACTCAGAGTGTCAAATAATTTTTCACTTTTCATGTTCAAATAGGTTTCTTGAAATGTGAAATGAAAAAAAAAGAAGAATAAAACATGGCTAATAGGACACCTTTACTGGACTGAAGGGGGATTTCCAAACTATTTTCTTAAATACTTATTGCACCTTAGAACAAATGTATATTTTTAGCTCTACAGATTAAATGCCTTTTATGAAAAAAGGGGGAATTAAACTTCCTGAAAAAAATATTGTACCTAGTTAATAAGTTATGACTTTTTTAGAGTGTTATTTCTTATGCTTTTTAGGGCCCATGTTACTAAATTAAGCTATATGAGTATCCAAAAATTAATGTATGATACACCTAAAAATTGTTCATGATTTGCTGTACAAAACATGTTGTCTGCTAGGAAACATTTTAGAACAATCCCTTGGCACGTCAAAGAAGCATACCTGAGCAAGTGATGACCTTTCCTCTCCAATAGGGGGAATAGAATTAAGCACCAGAAAGGTGAACTCTAAAAACTAAATGAGGGCTCCATTCTTTACTACAAATTTTGAGGTAGTTGGGTTCTGTAGGCTCCTCCATCATTTCCCTACCTCTTCTCATTTTTAATGTGGCTGGGCTCTCAACTTAAAATCTTCCTTCCACTCCTTGCCTTCCTGCCATCTATAATTATGGTAGTATCTTAGGTGATGGCCATCCCTTGCTCTTTCATCTGACTCTCTCATCTAAAACCCTTCAGTAGAGAGTATAATTATTTCTGATTTTGTCTACATAGAATATGGGTAGGGAGATTTAACCACTCTTGTGAACCTATGCCTAGTGGCATGGGGAAAGTGATGCTTCCAGGCAATGTGATATCAGTATCCTCTCTTCCTACAAGTTACAGAGTTATGCTCCTGACTCAACCTCTTCATTCTCAGATGCACTTTCCCTTAGGTATCCTTCTAATTATTGCCTCTCTGCTCGGTTTTCCTTCTTTTCTCCTCTTTTTCCAGGTGCTCCTGCATATTATTCCCTGACCCCTTTTCATCTTCTGTTCTGCCTCCCTCAATCACCTTATCCCCTCCTCTGGGTTCAACTACATTTTCCTGTAATCTGTCCCCCCACATTTTGAAATAAACTTTTACTTGTTCAGGAAATTTTAGAAATATCCCATCACCTATTAAATAGTCAATATTCCTTGGATGGACCCTAATTTCTGACCCTAATCAAATTCCCACCGACCTATAGTCACCTCTTCTTTTACTCCCTAATATTCCTAGAGTCAACCAGTTTAGATCACTAGTTATTTTCTAACTCAATATTCACCTTCTTACTCTTGTGTATTTACTTATTGTTGTACTTCTTAATTGCCCTTCACCCCGTTTCTATATACTCAAATTTTGCCCATTTTTCTAGAAACATCTCAAATACTACACCCTTCATGACGCCGTCATTGCTGCTCCCATCTTGAATTAATCCCTTATCAATGTTTTGCAGTGTGTGGTTAGGAGTTTCACTTTGGGTTCTTATCAAAAATGCAAATCCCTAGGCCTCAGCCCACATCTAAAAGTTTATTAAGGCCTAGGTCTCCTTGAATTTAGTAAGTCCTAAATAAATATCAATGGATTAAAATAAAATGAATGAATGCATTTGATTAGCTACCACCCAATGAGCATTAGAACTTACAAGGCTAACTTATAAATATACACTTGACTAAAGAAAATAACAGCTTGATTATTCTTCAGAACAAAAGGAAAATGTGAGGTAGATTGAAACGCTATTAGGAAATCAATTAAAAGATTAATTATGTATATTTAAGTGTGGCTACTTCCCTCATCACTGCAATGCTCAACAGAAAATTTAATACATGGAGGAAGCTAGGACTTTACTTACGGTTTTCTCTTTGCTTCTTTACTGAGTGCTCTTTGACAATTCTTTCTTGTTTCTGGATCTTTCCTTCCCTTTAATATGATTGGGTTCAACTAGATAAGCCACCTATAAGTAATTCTATGATTTTATTATTCTATGACTAAGCTATGTGACTTAGTCAGGGCTATGACTTCCAACTTTAGACTATTTCTGGTTAGTCCTATTAAACAAAAGTTCCCACATTTAAGTTTCCCTAGGGATTCTCTCAAAGGAGTTCAAAACTCTTAGACAAATTACCTGAGAAACAAATGTATTTAGCTATCCTTAATATCAAGCACATTAACTCAAATCATTTAGCAAAGGTTGTTTTAGGTGTGTATTAATTTAGCCCATGTCTTACTGCCTATAAATACATCAACTCTGAGACTCATGTTTTGCCATTATGGTGTTGTGCCTGAAAATTAAGCCAGAATTCTGGGCTTTCTTGATGATAAGATGTAAGATATAGTATTTCTTTTCTTTTCTTTTCTTTTTTCTTTTTCTTTTTTTTTTTTTTTTTGAGACAGAGTCTCACTATGTCACCCTGAGTAGTCTGCTATAGTGTCACAGCTCGCAGCAACCTCAAACTCTTGAGCTTAATTGATTCTCTTGCCTCAGCCTCCCAAGTACAGGCGGGACTACAGGCACCCACCACAACACCCTTCTGTTTTTTGTTGCAGTTGTCATTGTTGTTTAGCTGTCCTGGGCTGGGTTCAAACCTGCTGGCCTTGGTGTATGTGGCTGGCACCATAACCACTGTGCTACAGGTGCTGAGCCAAGATACAATATTTCTTTGGCTATAGTCTTAAACGAATAACTCCAATGAGAATGAAAATAATGTCTTTGACACAAATTCTTTATTTTGTATCATTTGAACATAAAAAGATGACTGTGATTATACTTTTAAAAATTGCTTGTAAGATTCCTGTCTTTATGTATTAGGTCCATAAAATCTATTTTAAAACATGTTTCCATGAAGAAATATGACAAATAATGGGGTTAAAAGTATTGTGCTATGCCCTTCTGATATCATCGCATCTAAGTATGTTGCCTCTCCACAGTTCAAATTCTAGTTTTACTGGCAAGTAATTAGTTACAATAGTACAACTACATTGTTTTATTTCTGTATCATTGCTACTATTTATTACACAATTTCCTAGATTAAACAATACATTCAAATGACATAATGAATTACATACTTTTAAGAGCAGAATAAGCCCACACCTACCGTGCATCTTACATAGGTACATGTGAAATTTACTAGGTGTAGAATTTAAATGTCTAAACACAATAACTAAGAAAATGCTGTGAAGGCAATGTTAACCAGTTTGATGAAAATATTTCAAATTGTATATAAAACTAGCACATTGAACCCCATGATTGCATTAATGTACATTAATGATTTAATACAAAAAAAAAGAATAGAATAAGCTACATTTGTTAAAGGAACATATGCCACATTTTCACTGGAAACATTAAAGATTCATTCTTCTTAATGACTTATTTAATTACATATGTTATTCCCTGGGCCAAGATTTATTTTATAAATAAAGTTTTCTCCATATTATTTTGTTATTATCTAAAAGTAATTATAGGTCATATTCTGTATTATATTAAAATGCAAACAATCTAGTTTGTTATTTTTTTAATCAGCTAATTGACTTAAATTTTCTAAGTCTGATTTCAGAATTTTACTTTAACGTCTCTCACAGTTTTCTCTTGTTTTGAACAAAAATAAAAATTATCATTTTATCAGTCTGTGTTTATAAGTTGGACTTGCTAAGAAAACTTGTCTAGACAAGTATAATTCTTTAGCCTTGACACACTCAGTACCTTACAACACCTCATAATTTAAGAGCATCTCATCATTTAAGAAGTTGGAAAAATTTGGAATGAATGGAAGACTAAATGAGTTTGATTTCAAGATAAATACAAATTAAAAAATTTCAAAATGTTTCTTTCAAAATCCTACATCCAGCTGTGAGCCACCTCTGTAATAAAGGGATTTTTCCTATACTTTCTGAAAATTAAAATAAAAAGTAAGTAATACGTCAGGTAACCCAAATATGTGGTTAATAAAATATAAAAAAATAAGTAATATGTCAGGTAACCCAAATATATGGTTAATATACACTTTAATGAGGTAACTTGAAGGTACACGTATATTATTGATCTTAAAACAGGCCTATAGGTATTAGGATTATTTGAGATTCTCATGGTACTTTAGTCATGCAAATAGCTAACTAGATATGTGGGTCATTACAAAAGTTTTAAGATACACAAAAATTAAGAAATGTTAAATCTATATGGATGGAAACAAATGAAGCCTTCCTCGCAATACCAATAAACCTAACAAGTTGAATCTTACCTGGGTAAATCAGCAAGGATGCTGTCAACTGTGTTTCCTGGAAATGAAATAATGGGCGGTAACAGTGTTTCAAAACTTTAGTACTGAGGCACTTCATTATTTATCTTAGTGTGTGATTTTTTGCATCACTGCTTAGATGACTTAAAAAATTATATAAGATCTCAATTTATTATCCAGGAGGACCCAGCAGTGAGGAAGATCTATGTGGGGCAGTGGGGACAAGAGCAAAAATGTAGGAGGCCGGGAGGAGAGAGGGTATCTGGTGGGACTTCACCTAATGTGCATAACGCAATGGTACATTTCAGAATATTCATACTAGAGTATAGATGTCTTACCACAACAAATAAGTAAGTGAGGTGATGGTTAGGTTAACAAGTTTGATGTTAGCTTTCCATATCGTATATCAAATCAGCACATTGTACCCCATAAACGCATTAATGTACACAGTTATGATTTAATTTAGAAAAAACAGTAAAAATGTACACAGAGTATATAGATTTCATAGTCTCTTTCTTTGTTAATGTAATATTGATTTAAGTTAATAATATAACTAACTGTTTAATAGAATTAATATCAGACATCAGCTTTTAAATTTGTTTAATTGTTATAGATACATATAGTTATATACATTCAGAATGTCATCTTTTTTTTTTATTTTAAACCATATGGAATGCTTCACAAATATGCATGTCATCCTTGTGCAGGGGCCATGCTAATTTTCTCTGTATCACAGAATGTCATCCTTTTAAACATTTGGTCCAACTCTTTCTTCTAACACATTTTAATCTGAGAAAAATACTTAGGCTCTGTATCCTATTTCATATTTTTGGCCAGTAATATAGTGATTCTCCTTACATACTGTCTTGCATTAAATCACACAATTTTCCCAGAAGGATCAATTTAATGGTCTAATCATCACACTTGCTATTTTTACATCCTTTCTGGAACCACAGGTTAGATCCAAGGGTTGTCTATTTGATCTTTCTTACCTTTGAGAAATAAGTCCACTATTTGGTTTTCTGATGAGGGAAAAGATGATTTTTTTTTCAACTCCTTGGAGTTTGAATTAAATGGCAGTTTTCCCCAGTGTGTGAGTAATTTGGAAACATCTTCTTTTCCCATGACAGTTGTACATTGGTAAACTGCTTTGCATTCAGTGGTGTCCTGCAAGACTAAGAACTGGACTATTTTTATCTTCACTAATTAAATATGAAAGATTATTCTGTTATAAAATGATTATGGTTTTATAAATTATACGTTATGTATCTAAATAAATTACAAAGCTGGTGATTCAAAGGACTGATTCTAGACCCAGACTGCCCAGATTTATTATAAATCCCATTTTCAGTGCTTTCTAGCTATGTCCAGGAGTGAGTTAATTCATTCTGTACCTCAGAGTCCTCATCCATAAAATGGGAACCTTATTCGCTCCAATCTCACAGGTTTCTTATGAGGATTGAGTTAATACACAGGCCATGCTGTGGGATTGGCCACAGGAAATGCCTGGTTTGATATCACCTTTTATAGTTTAATAGCTACAAAAATAGAATCACACTTAACCAGCAGTGACTATTGTATTTTTTCAATTGTTGTTCCTAAATTTATCCTTCTAAAGAAAGTATGGTTTATGATTTTATGTACAGTTAATTTGATACAGTTTGACATAATTATGTAAGAAGACTTTTATCTCCATTTTACATAATCTCATCTAACCATAGTATTAGATGATCTATCGACTCCTGAAAAACTATCGTAGAAATTTAGTCATTTTGTTTATTTTTTAAGGATTATGAGTTTTTGGTTAGTGAAAGATGACTCAGTAGGTTTAACTACTTACAATAACTAAGATTATAACTGATAAATTATGTAAAGTATAAGTGTAGCTGGGGGTGGTGGTTCACCCCTGTAATCCTAGCAGTCTGGGAGGCCAAGGTGGTAGGATTGCCTGAGTTCAGGACTTTGAGGTTGCGGTGAGCCATGATGATGACACTGCTCTATAGCTGGAGTGGAAGCTAGACTGTGTCCCAAAATAAGTAAATAAATAAAGTAAAAGTATAGTACATACATTAAAGTGGAATTGCTTATCATGTTTATTTAGTTTTTTATTTTCAGAAAATAATCATAAACGTCTACCACTTCACAAGTATGGTACAAATTAACTTGTGTTCATAAGAGAGATGTCTTTGGAGAAGGAGTCCTCTGTAATGAAACTATTGATAAAAATGCAGCCAGGTCCCTCGTTTGTCAAACACCTGCTTTGGTGAGACGAATTTAATGCATAGAAAGAGCTCTTGTTTGCAACAACAGAATCCCAAGCGCTTGGTGCAACCTTTGTCTTTGAACATTAAAGTACGAAAGAGGGTTTCATCTTGCTTACTCATCCAAGATTCCGTATGAACAGCACTTCTATATAATTATTCTTAATGTGGTGCCTTCTATCACTCACTCCTTCCTTTCCTTGAGACATACTGATGACAATGTAGCTTTTATAAAGCACATATCTTTTGGAGAACGTGTTTTTACTAGGCTTACCAACATAATGTTTATGGTATTTGAAGCTTAGTTATAGTTGGAGTTTTTCCTAATTTTTTTTCCTTCAATCTTCTTGAAAACAACTTGAGAAGTTTAGGGTTTTTATACTAGAAAAATTATTGACTATTATTTCTTTGGATATACAGGATTTGTCAGATTTCAATTGTTCATTGTCTTAGAATGTGGAACTCATCAAAATAGCACGTCAGACTCGTGAGTTTACACAAAAATCATACCTTTTGCTTTAACATTCTCTTCATCTGTTGACATAGTTGGTGTAGGCAAACTGGCTCTGCAGAATGTTGGAAAGCTGGAGGCAGAGATAGTTTTCGGGTAATCTAGGTGTTCATTCTACCTCCTCCAGAAAGATAGGGATGAGGCATTTCTAATGGAAGGTCTGTTTCCTAATACATGAACACAAACCCTCATTATAATAAGGATTTGTGCTTTTTCAAATGGGCATAAAGTTCAGAGTATCAAAGGACAGTGATGTAGCAATGGTTGAGGTTTCCAGATGTGGTAGGACCCTATTACTCTTGAATAGTGTTACTGACAGCCATGTGCCCCCATTGGGCTCTCGTGTGGACAGAGTGCTAAGTTGGGCTGGGAAACGCTCCTACTTGGTCTGACTAACCAAGCTGGAACCATAATCTAGCCTCAAATTGGTCATATGCCATGATATTTCTTCCTGTCATTCTATAGCGGATCTGAAACAATGGTAGAAGTTTTTGTCATTTTAAGAATAGGCTTGTTTCCTGCTCAGGCATCAAGCCTAGTTGCCATTGCTCTTTGATTTAACAGGCATGAATTAGTGGGTGCTCTAAGAAGAATAGGACTAATGATGATAAATGAGCAAGGCATTCTATCCTTGTCAGATGAAATAAAGAAATAGTGAAAAAAAGTGCAGAATAACTAGAAGGAGAGTTTACAAAGGATTCATCATTACAGAATTATCTCGGGCTCATCCATTGTTGAATAAGTCAATAAGAGAAAATTGAGAGTTAAAGCTGACTTTCCCTCTATTTGCTAATATTACTACTGTCAGTGCCTAATGGCTCCACCACTCACAAGTATTGTGCCTTAGTTTCCTGACTTGTACAATGAGAGAATAATGCTTCAAAAGATGGCTGTAAGGATAAAACTAAATAATAGCTATAAATTTAGAGCTTAAAGTATAATACACACTAAATAAAAATTAACCACAATTACTTATGTTTGAAGTAGATACTACTATCTTTATTTTAGAGGAAAAGAGGAGAATATGAAGGCTCTGATATTTTCACCCAGTAGCCTAAAGTCATGCACAGCCAGCGTGTGGAAAGCTTCAGTAAAACACATGATTCATGTTCAAAGTGATTGCAAAAAGACTGTGGAATCTTGTAATATTTTCACCCCACTAAGATCCTGATACTGATCCACTAATATTACATGACTCAAATGCACAAAGTCCTTTGATCGATAGGGCATTTTTATTCCCCAAGATCTTGAACTCAATTATATACGTATTTCCTGCTTCTGATTTAAAAACTGTAACAGTTAACCACTTCACCGTGTGTATAGTGTGTTGTGTTGTATGATATAAACTGTACATTTTCTGAGTTCCTTCCTCTTACCTTTTAAGATGTAAATAAGATTGGTTTAGCCTCCTATTCCATGCCCCATGGAAAATACAGTGCCATTCTTAAGATTTCTCTGAACTCACGAAGGGTCTTCCATCCTCCTGGTCACCTCTGTCTCCACCTACCTTTCTAGGTACCTTTTTTGTTTTCTGTTCTGTGTCTCTGCTCTGGTATATAAACTGGAAAATGATCTCTTTCTTAAGCCCAAGACTTACACACATTTCCATAAAATCAGTATCCTTAGCAATGTGAATGTAGTGCACTTCCCTGAATTATGAAGAAGATGCAGAAACATCAGCACTAACATCCAAAAATTAAGCAGTATGATGTTCCAGAGTTTTCATTGTTTTTGTCTACCATAAAGGCCACTCTGCCTTTCTCTTCTCCTTTCTTTTTTATTCCTCTCCACCCACTAATTATCATTAATTTCTAACGCAGAAACACTTTTGCCGTCCTCTACTAATTTCCCTGCTGCTAACACATGTTCTCAGATTCTTGTATTCTACCATATACAAGTGCCTTATCAAGATATTATCCTAATCCTAGATAATCTTCTTTTTAATAGGAGCACTGTTGACAGGGATTAAGACACAGATACACTATAATAGGAAGACATCTCAACTTTTCCTGAAACAAGGAGGGGTGGAATTAATAAATAAAATTAAGAAAATAAAGCATGAATAAATAAAACTAAGAAAATGAAGCAAAACTCACAATGTAAAGGTATTTCTATAGGGGAATAACTTGCAGTCAGGGCTTGAATCTCCTTAACAATTTTAGTAACTCTTTATGGATTGTACTACACACTATTTGCGGAGAGTCACCACACTTAGAAACATGAGAATAATTTCTTCTTGAAAGTGAGCAGTAGCTGGCTACACATGGCCTTCTCTGAGGTTATCTATCCGATATAGAGCAACTTGTTTTTAGGTATGAGTGTTGAGTGTCTATTTTTCCACCTGGAATAAAATGTTGAATCCAAGATGTTCTTCTCCTAAAAGCTTTGTGACTGGATTTGAAATTCCAAATCTTACGCTTTCAATAGGCATCTTTTCTGTGTAGAATTTATATTTTGTATTTGTTCCCCAAATTTTGGCTATCCTTCTTGGCTGTTTTTATGACCTGGAAAAAATGCCACTTCTCTGAGAATTTTTAAACTGTCTTATTATCTAAGAATGGACTCAATATATGAATGAAGCTATTGTCCTTCAGCATGTCTGGTGCTACTATTACTTCACTTTGACCTTTGCCCTTTGTAGATTCCCTCTCCTATGCTTTTTTTAATCAATCATTGTATTTGTGCCACTAGGCTAACCCTTCTGCTCACTGTTTCCTTTGAGCTTTAGCTGAAAGTTACAGTTTAAATATTTAAAACAGGCCTTCAATGAATTATTATTTAAGTGCAAATACTATATCCTATAGCTTGAGGTTAAAGATTTTGGCAAAGAGGCATTTTGTTTTGCTTTTTGGTGGTAGGAAGTCTTTGATTTTAAACAGGTTAAATATATGATCATAAAACAAAGTCTTAAAAATCCTCCTCCTTCCAGGTAAATTGTACTAAGCTATTCCAGACAGGTCAAAAGCACATATTTTTCTTAACAAATTTCCAG